GGTATATAAAGGTATCTAAAAGGGAATGTAGGATTAATTCTAAGGTAGGTCTTAGTGTTTTAGGATAAATACTAAAACCTAGAATAACTATAGCCTGCTATTTAGAAGGCTGTAATTATTACGTATTAGTAACTAATATATTAATATAAAAGTTATAATAATTAAAGTTATATTATTTTATAAAGTTTATTATTTTAATATATAATTTATATTATAGAAATAGTAAAAGTTTTAAAAAAATAATATTACTATAGTTTAATACAAATATATTAACCTATATTTAATAAACTAATTAAATGTAATGTCTAACATTAACTAGGGAGCATTACTTATAGTAAAACCTCAAACTTAAATATTTAAACGGGTCTAAAGGGAGCGCATTTAACCACGATTAACAAAGTAAATTAGAATAGTATATATAGCTTCACTTTTTCCACTTCCCTATCTCAACAACCGCCTCTTCCGCCTCGACTATTTTCAACATCGGTCTACTTCTTTCCTTGGTCAAGGTCTGAATTGTGTCAGCAATCCTCAATATCAAACAGGTATGAGTCGATAACACACGTGCGCCACAATAGTTCGAGCCAGCCTGACGAGCTTGTCCACACCCTCCGTAGGCACATTTGTCTGTTGACTGCTTAGGCACCTTACCGCGAGTACAAAAGGTGAGGAACTCACGTTTGACACAATACTGATGCTGTGCCTTAAGGTCTTTAACTGCATCATCCTCGCAGCCATTGGAAATGCAGATTCCCGCCATGATTGGGTTAGAGCTTTGATAGTTGTGAGTCTGGTTTTAGAGTGAAAAGACAAGCCAAGTAAAACGTCGAAGTCTTAGGAGGATATGTTAATTTGGATGATAATAAAGAAGGACAAGGCCCAGGGCTCCAGGAGAGATATTAATACCTGTTGAGGCTCAAATTTATGCGACTGCCTAGTTCAGTAATGCGATGGGGAACCAATAAAAACCAGAGGCGATATATAGATGCTCAGGTGGACAACTATCACAACTGACTAGAACAAGGCTCTCGCTTTGGTTACCTTTTATAAAATGTAGGTGTACTTAATACAAAAGGCATTGCAACTTGCACCCCCCCCCCCTAGTCATGTTCACACCATGCTGAGTGGTTGTGTGGGCAATTAATTACAATGTTGGCTAATTGTGCTAGACACCTAGATATTAGCCATTTATCATCAGTAACCATTTTATTCAAATTGATATATGTGTGTAATGGGCTGTGCCTGTAGGTGACCTCGGCAACTCTCGACCAGTCGTCGCCCACCTCTTTTACCTTTAAGCCTGATTACCCTATATCCTCGAAGAGTAATCCATAACATTGAGAACTGTTAAAACTGCAATAACGGCGGGGTGGCTTCCCCAGCCGGATAATGCATTGGCAGCTGCGGGTAGACGCATAACTCGTAGGCTTCGTATCATGTGAAGTAGGACAGGAAATCCCGGCTATAACCAGCACCCGCATTGCAGCAGCAAGTCTCTTTGTTTGAAGAGCGGCTCGATAACGCAGATTATCTATAGAATAAAAGATTTCTTTCCGTTAACGCCCACGGGTAGTATTAGGTTCTCATCGATTAACACGGGGCGGGCCGGTTTGCCCTACGACAATATGACATGATAAAGCGTGCGGGGTAGGTAGTAGCTACACACCTTTAAAGGTATGCAAGAGGGTCATCTCGTCCCACCTGCAAGTAACAACTGCCTGGTCTCTAGACAAGCTCTGTACTATTTCGGCCTAGCGGTTTGTGTCTGCTGTCTGATACATAATGCTGATTGTCTTACTGAAGTGACCTTTCTAGCATCGGATCCAACTGCTTTCTTGGATGGCGTCACTGAATGAGGCAAAGTATGTGTCTATGGGTGACCAAACTGATTGATTGTTTGGGCATGAATGCAGTATAAGTATGCATAATGATAGCCCAACAGCTCTTAGCCTTGTTCCGAAAGCGACTCTTGCAGTATCTAGTAGTGATTAGCTGGAGTGGTAGGTGGCCTCATTCTGTGGTACTACCAAACTTTTCGGGGGAGGCTGAGAGTGAAACCAATCATTGAATATTTTATGGCTTGGGGTGTCCAGCTGACATGCTTCAATACCTACAGTACAAAGGACCATCCAAATCGCGTCGCATTATCTACTGTTCGTTCGTGTCAACCCAGGTGGCCCCCAGAATTCTTGGCGTTTTTCTCAAATGACTAACTATATGCTTGAAGCAACTGCGGAATGGAATACTCCACACAAGAGCAACAGTCAATCAACACATTTGCTGCTGCTCATCACATTTACTTTAACCCTTTAAGTACGCTCAATGCGATAGTTAGTCACGCTGTAACAGCTGAAAATGGAGTATTGCTCAGGATAATGATCAAATATAAAATTGAAAAAGATGGTCGACAGTAAATGGCAACTTATCATGACAATGCCAGGGTTCTGCTGACAAATTCTTCTCTCATTGGAAACCGCACAAGAGGCGTATAGTCCCAATTCGATTTGTAGAAGCCTGGTGCCCACTCGCATTAGCGACAGGCTGTTTATCTTAGAACAACGAGCCTTATATCCGTCCTTGACAAGGCTTCTCCATTCATGATACCATGGACATACGAAGCACCTATACATTGGAACTCAGTGGCAGTTTGCGGACGTAGAACAAATGGAACCTTTCCACCGTGCAAGATCCATACCTCATCCTGGGCAGCTAGGTATCGAGGACCGAACCCTAACATGCCCATACCGGTGATAAACATGACTCTATGGCTCAGGGTTGCCATGGCTTCCAAGGTCGACGACGTGCGCTTACCGGTATAAACAAATTCCTTCAAAAGTTCAACATCATATGACGTAGCAGGATGCTGGGGTCTCAGATCTTCATCTGACTTAACATTGTCTATCAAGCCCCTCCAGAAGGCATCCTGCCATCTATGACGCTTGGTTGACTCCGACTGACAGCTGAAGAAAGCTTTTGCCATGTTGTACCATTTAAGAATCTGAGCGCACACGCTTGAATCTGAGACGAAATCGACGCCTTGACTGTAGCTATCCAGTCTGTCTCCAATAAAAGCAATTTGGTCGATGTGGCAACCCGTCAAGGTTAGAGAATTAATTTTCTGGTCAAATTGAAACTGGCTCCAGTCTATGTCCGACTGTGCTGATGCGGAATGCCATTCGTAGTGATGCATAAGGTACCAATTCACATCCTCCCCCTTATAAAAGAGAGGCTGTTGGCGAGTGGTGACTGCAATATCGAAAGCCCATCCAGGTATATTGGGTGTGCTTTCTGGAAGGCCACAGCGACTCCAGATTGCAATTGGTCGTAAACTTCTATCGTGCTCAACGACATCTGCTGTGAACATAGCACACAAGCTGGCTAATGGAAGCCTATAATCGCAGCATTCAGCCCGTTTGAGAGTCCCCTTTGGAAAAAGGCCCAAGAAGCCGTACACCTTGTCGTGTGTGTTGGTAGCCTGACGAAAGCTCCATCGAAAAGCCGTTTCTAGCGGTCCCTCAGTCTTCTGTTTGGCGTACTCGATGCCATTAATCTGTGTAAACAGTCTGTTGACTACATCGCGATGGGCCTTGGCAACGCGATCGAGCGGTGGAATTGGTTTGTTTCGACCTGCACGCACAATTTCGTCCCATGAGATGGATAATACTCCCCATAAGATGTCAGCCCTCGATGGAAGAATAGCTTCCTGCAATGTCCATATTCGATGCCACCATACATTTTCATCCACGCAGATTGACCCTAAGGCAGCCAAAGGAGCGGCAATGGTCATTTCTGAAGCCAGACAAGGCGGAATAGCTTGAGAAGGAGTCTTGTCTTTTTCGTAGCTTGCCATGAAATGAAGGATGTCGAGAGCGGCTACAGCATCAGAATGTGCAATATCTGGCCTTGGTTCGCCGAGCCATATGAGACATCGGCTCGTTGTGGAGTATATTTGGCCCATCAAAGGAATTTGATTCATCTTCTCCTTTTCATCATTCTGATTAATGCTAAGCTGATCGATCCAGAGGGTTCTCTTGGTGTTTGACAACCTAATCCGCTTGAGGGCGCTATGAAGACTTCGGGTAACCGTGATTTGGAGTTCATCGACTATAATACTGGCAGCTTCATTTTTTTTACCCCAGACGTATGAAAGGGCCTCAAATTGGGTGTTGCCGGAAATTGGCACGACTCGAGTCTGGATGCAAATCGGAGCCCGCTGATCATCAGACTCCGTAGATGGCAAGAGATCCAGGAGGCGGATCTCAGCAGCCGACAGCATGCTTGAGCATAAGCAGCCTAGACGCGTAGCCAATTTGAAGTCACGACCACGATGTTTCGCGACAGTCAATGCTTATTTTCTGCTACAGCTTCAACATCTTGAATGAGGCGTTTATCTAATCATGTCAGGCTGACGGGTTGTCGGGCCGTCAGGCAGCAAGTACGCGTGTGCTTGATTCTGGCGATCGACCATGCTGCATTATTAGAACATCGAAGTTTAGATAACTTATCCTTCATTAATATTATTCGAAGCCACGTGTGACACTCTTAACAAACGCCAAGCTGAAGCACCAAGGCAATAGTCCGGTATTGCCAAGCTACCTACCACATGTCGATTAATGACAGGCTACTGAAATATTTTTAGTGGAGCTTTATGTGCCATGTGATGAATGCCTCTTAATTCTAGCGTAAGTCGGGCGCAAACGAGGCAGGCTGGTAACCTGATAGTTCGCAATCGTATCCTTATGTGTTCTGGCGGTATGAAGCTTAAATATCGACCTCGCCTCGTCGTGCTATGTCTCTGATTTTCTTCTCTATTTCTGATAGCCTAACCCTAGTTTCGGTTCTAACACATATACAAGCTAAGCACGAGGAAATAATGGTGAGACTGTAGAACATACTATAAACATGTAAGTACCATCCAGTGTGATGTGACCTCAAAGCCTCAGAACCACTAACCCATGACTGTAAAGGTGTGGCTATCAGCCTTTCCCCGAGGTCGTCAATGTCAATGGTACCCAGATAACAAGGACAGTTCAACGATGGATTGATTGCGAAAGAACTGATTGTCATATGTCGTCCAACTATATTGTACCAAGGTCCAAATACTACTGATAGGGGTTAAATGTTTATGAGTTTATAATCCGAAGCGGACTTTTAGTAATCTAGAACAAAGTGAGAGATAACAGACTAAAAATAGTAAAGCGAAAGTCTTTGATCTTACTGCTCTTATCTCTATTACTATATACTAAAATTAATCAAAGTAGTAAAAGTGCCTGTATTTAGTAAGGTTAGGTTAGAAATTATATATCTTTAAAGTTTTTTTTACTATAACCCTAAGAATTATTAATAAATAATTTGAATAAAATTACTTATATAAATTTAGTTATGTAATATATAATAAGAGCTTGCTTGTTTTTTTATTTTACCTTAGTAGATAGACCCAAGCTTTAGGTAACAGTAAATTTTAAAAGATTACTGCTTAATATCACTATAGCTCATCACAGATATGACTGGCTAGATATGGGCTCACAACCAGATGTCCCAAGATATTTGCTTTGCAGCCTAAAATACACACAAGACTTGTCCCCGTTAGAAGATGTACAACACCCACGCCATCATGAACCCAACAAGACTCGAATCCGCCTGTTCTATATCTTAGTCTACAGTTCTCTTTGCACAACCTCAGCCAAAGAGTACAACTCACGTGTGAAAGTACCTGCCCCACGTTCTTAGACGACGACTCGGCTGCTTGCCCGGAAGACGTCTCGGTCGACATAGATGCCTCGGTTTGGGTTGCACTACTGACAGCTTGCGATGATGCCGTAGCACCAGACTCTGATGTAGTTATGGAGGCATCAGCTTGGTTGGGTACACGTAGGGCAGGCCCAAGACAGGACGCCGGCTCGCTCTCTGTCGCGCAGCAGGCATTGAGAGCTTTTTGTCCAAGACCGGTGCATTCTTTACAAATCACGGACGCGCAGGAAGAGATAGTGGGAGCGCAGGTCTGGATAAAGGCATTACACTCGCTGAATCGGGTTTCTTTAAATCAGATGTCTTCGCTGAGCTCCGGTCCTAAATTAGGAACGGGGAGATCCGCGGCAACCAAAGCCGCACAGAAGAGTATGAAGGCAACCATTGTGGGTAAATGTTCAAGTTTGGAAGATGGAGAAGTCGTTGGGAAAATGCGGAGATTTAGTTTGTAGTTATGTCTTTATATAATGTTAAGCTCGGTACGCCTTGACCTTACTATTGGCGTTTGACTTTACATCCCCTGTCTTGAGTGCCCTACTCTGCTGAGTCTGCCCTACGAGGCTTGACATGAACCTGTTTGGGACTCGATAACGGATGGATAGCGCAGGGAGTGACAAATATCTACCCTATCGATTGGATTCTCAGCCATACTGGCGGCACGCCTTATCCGAGACAGCAGGGGGGAACAGATAATTGCTCTTCCAATTGGATTCTCAGCCGCGCTAACAGTGGTGTGGCTTGGAGCTGGAACATGAAGGCTGCTCAACGGCACGTTTCATCCGAGACGACCCCTCTGATAGCCTGCTAAGCCATGACTTTTCTTATTTTTGGGTGTTTTGGGTGTAAACAAGACCTAAGTTGCTGGGCTTGTGCTCGGGGTTGTCTGGCTTGCAGGCCTCATCGGCGACTGCAAGAATATCATGGATAAATAAAGACGACTGTCGTGACCTGGAACGAAACTGGAAGACTTTGAAGATAGGTTTTGACGTATGAGAAGCTGTTATTCCTCAACGGACTAACTAAGTGCGATTTCGCGCCGAAACTACCAAGCTATGATGCCAAGTTTCAATCGGTTACCGCGGAAGTAATTGGGTTAAGTTCATCTCTAATATCGTGACAGCCTCGCGCTGACCCCACCTCATTTCACCCGACTGAAAACAATATCTAGCGCGGGTGCTGTTCGTGGTAATTCAACATGCTGCAGTCAAACAAGTATTGTGTTGTTATATTCTAGGAGGTACTATCTCCATTATCACTAGATACAAGAACAAGGAAGAAGCAGCTCTACTGACCAGCACATAGAAAGCATAAAACATAGAGAAGAGACTACTTCAATTCAAAGTGTCAAAGCAAATCAAAGACAACTGATAAGACATGGAACCAGTAGTCTGGATAGAGGAGAAAAGCTTTATCACAGGCGAGGCACATCACGACAGAAGCTAGGACACCATAAAAGCGGCCAAATAACCCATATAATGCTAATACTAATGAACATTGCTATAGAGAATAGCATCCCTCTCCGCCAAAAGTCCGACGACGGTATCGATCCCGGATAATCATTATTTTACACTAGGTCCCTCATGCCGGAACAAACGCTCCAGTGTCAATACGTAGTTTCTGTAAGACGTGGGAGCAATGTAAAACCCTCCCCCCAATGGCGGGGTTTTATTCATCGCTATGAAGGTCTCGCTAGTTTTTCTTTAATGAAATACTAACGCTCGCCTACAGTCTCCCATGGAGTGCGGTCATTGTCGTTTTAGTACATGCTAATACGTGAGCCTGACCCGGTCACCTTACACACGTGTTGAAAGTGAAGGAAGAAGTCCTGCACTTGTACTATTTCTGGCTTTCGGATTCTGGTCTGTTTGAACAGTGCTGAACAAGTATTGCTGGAACATTAAACGTGGCACGTTTAGCGTGGAGGAGCTGGTGCCGTGGAAATGCCTCAAAGTAAGTGATAGTTCTACTATGACTACACAACTGGCTCGTGAGGTTTGGATTCCATATTTTATGCCATTGATACCTTTTGATTTGAACTTTCATAGCAACAACATGAGGGCAAGGCCCATCCTCAAATGTAACCAATGGGAACGCAAGCGTACAGCAACAACACCGCCGGGACAAGTGTTTGAGGACCTGAAGCTTTATAAATTTTTCTAGGGGTGATAAATTAAATCGTTCTTTAATGTTGATACATAATTTATTAGTTTACTGGGTTAAGCATTCATTTGTTCCTCGTTCAGGCCATTTTGGACTTTGGTGCCATTTCTCCCTGCTATCTGTTGGTTGGTTGTGTTTGACTTCCCAATGTGGCTTGAGGCGACTGGTTCGCTAATCCCTGCCTGCTGCCTAATCCCGTTTTCACTCGTTAAATACGATTCATTTCATCCCCCCATCCCGTTATTCTTAGAATCTATTCTCTCCTCCATAGACGCTGTCGATTTGTACAGAACCTACGCACCGTCATTTGATAACGGCCTTGCCCAACACGGTCCGTGTACGATACTCCTATGCAACATTCTCTTATAAAACTAGCTAACATCCTTAGCAAAGTCTACCATGAGCCTCACAGACGAGACTTCACCCGTCGAACAGCTGTTCCTCGACCGCTCGATCCACGACGTTCTGACAAGAAAATGGCCCGCAGTTGAGCCATGGGCTACTATGTATGTTGATGCCATTCGAGAGCAAAGATATGGCGATGCTGTATGGGCGCGGTATCACATAGAAGGAAATGTTGAAAATGGTATCATTATCAGTCCATCGCCGAGCGATAATATGCCGGTTTTGGACAGTATCAGAGAGGACGCAGTGGAAGCGAAGATGAACGAGCCCGAGTTCTATGCAAAGGCTCTGCAGTTTTACGCTAAAACCAGTCCCTCGGATGGACATCCTGAGGTTATTAAGACTATATTCGAGGCTGATAAGTCGTAAACTTGTGGTGAGGAGGATGGAGTGGCGTGAAGAATTGGATGGGAATGGGATGACGGGATTCTGCCGCTCGATCTTATTCAAGCACCCACGTATATCTTAGCAATGACTATTGACTGCGTTTCCTCCGCAAGATCAAACCTGAGATACGTACCCAAATGATCACCTACCTGCAATCATTCATGGAAGGGCTTAACCCTCCTGGAATTGGGTGATAGTTGACTCCCTCGCTTTACTGGCAATGAGATTCAATCAGACTTGGGTCCCCAAAGTCAAAGCTACTTCGCAGAGTTGTCAAACTCGGTTGGCACGGCATCTTTTCGTGTGCGTAGCGACAGAATAGCTAGTCCGAGCGGCGCATGTAGTCCCCACCAGAGAACTCATCGGTTCTCTGGTGGTCAACAATGCCTTGCTCATCCGCGAAAGGCTGCCAGCAACGAGCGCAACGATATTGGGGCTGCCTATGACGTCGATAGAGATGTTCCCTGCATGAATATTAGAGCCAAGCGATACAAAAGGGTAGCTTGTTGGTACTTTACTCGATGGACGTCATGCCAACCAGGCCCTGGACACGTCTTCCAGTCTTTATACTTGACTGGATTGTACTTAAAGTACGGACAAGCGAACTTTGGATCCTCGTGCCCTTGAATAGGCATACGACTGCTCTGCCGGTCTTCCCAATTGCCACCTTCGTCCTCGTTGTCTGTCTCGTGATTGTCTGTTTCTGCTACTTTCCTCTTTTTGTTACCACGATTGTTGGGGTTGGACGACCCAACAAGGAGATGTGAGTCTAACAGTGCTTCTCATGTCCCAGATGCGCTGTTTGAATTGCCACCGGTATTCTTACGCCACACGTCCAGCTTTGAATGCAACCACTGCATCGCAGAAAAGACAATGCTGTCAATAATCTGTTTCTTCCGATCATCGATATAAGTCTCTGGGGTGGAAGATCCTCCATCGCTGTCAGGTGTTTGAGAAGAATATCGATCACCCAGTTCTTCTGAGGCATCATGTGATTGTTCAGGCTTCGGAGAAGGCAGTGTGTTGAGGTCCGGGTGGAAATCATCTGTCCCTTCCATTTTGGTCATTGAATGAAGTGAGTTGTTCCTTCTCATCGCATCTAGCATTGTATTTTCTTTTTCTCTCTCACTTCGTGCCCTACAGTCTTTTCGATGTGTCTATGAATAGTCTAGTGTTATATATCGATGTTGTTGACGCAATATCGAAGTTGCCTTAACTTACATGCATGCCTTCCATTCGCTTGAAGCCTTGACCGCAATCTGGACAGAAATGAGGCCCCTTCGATGCCGAGCGAAATTTGTGCTGCCTCCGAACTCTTGGTGGCGCGAGATGAGAATCCACTGGAATTCTGTGACCGATGTGAGGACGAGGATGAAGGCAAACTTCGTTTCGATTCCATGTATACCAGACAAGACCTCGCTTCTTGTGCCGCAGAACCAGATGAGCCGAAAAGTGCTGAGAATGCCTGATCCAAGGGCACGTCCTTAGATTCTTCATTTGTCTCTAAAGGGTTTGAAGTAGACGCCATGATGGCTTGTAGTTGAATCTGTTTTAAACAATTGGATACGACGAAGAACAAAGAAGTCGGTGAAATGGTTGTCATACAATGCGGGGCTTTGACTGTTTTTGAACCCAATGGATAGCTGAATCAGGTACTACGCACGGTTGTCCATAGCTAGCCAGTGACACGTCAGACGGACCAAAATACTGCGGCTGAGAAAGACAGCTCTTCGTTTTCCGCATTTGCGCATAACTGGATTGAGCCAGCACTAAACCAACAAGTTCCTTGACAATGGCCTTTTTGGAATTTACTCTTACATATTATAACAATAAATGCCAATTACTTATGTTGAGTTATCTAATTGTCAATTCACCCCACATATTCCTTTAGCCATGACGCGGACTGACACTGGTCTTGGTCTTTCGCGTTGGCTACCTATCGAACCCCAGATTCTTTTATCGCTTGAGACTAAGTGGGCGCCATGGATACTAGTTCCAAAAACCCGATTGGCCGAACAACAAAATCAAGATCTGAAATGCCTCGGCGTCTTGGACCCACAATCCTTCCCTCGCGTGTGTTGGTCCGGCACGGATATAAATACTGACCTTGACTTGACTTCAGCACACGCGCCAAGCTACCCCTCCTAATCTCCAAACTCCAACGTCATCTTTCTCATCACTCCATGACTGACCTCCAATTACCACAGACTCGCCATGCCCCAAGACGAGCTCCCCAAAACCGCCGCTCAGCCGAACAATCCTGAACCCAAAAATGAACGCGCCGTCTCACTCGTCGATCGCTTCACATGGGGTAACTTCACCTGCACGCAGTCCACAGGCGGTGTGGCCCTGATGATATCAAAGAGCCCGTATTCATTTCGCGGTTTACATACCATTGGTGTCGTGGTGTTCATTCTCAACCTCGTTCTGTTTATCCTCTTTTGCACAGCAATGGTTTGTCGGTTTGTTCGGAGACCGGCTAGTTTACTCAAATCCGTGACGAAGCCGCCTGAAGCGTACTTTACAGGTTCTCTGTGGCTTTCTATGGCCACGATTATCATGGGGATACAGAGTTTTGGGGTTCCTCACGCTGGGTCATGGCTTGTTGATACCGTTCGGGTTCTGTTTTGGATCTATGGTGCGATTACGCTGACGTATAACGTTGTTATCTTTGTGGTTATGTTTTCTCTCGCGCCGTTTGCACCTGGTAGTATGAGCTCTCCGATGTTTCTAATGATTTACAACGCTATGCTTACCGGGACTGTCGCGTCGGTAATCGCAGCGGATCAACCTCCAACAGAGCGAATGCCCATCATCGTTGCCGGCATTGCTTTCGAGGGTCTCGGCTGGATCCTATGTCTTCTATTTCTTCCCCATTTCGTCGGCAACCTACTCGTCAACGGTCTTGGCCCCGTCAATCTCAGACCAGGCTTATTTATATCAGTCGGTTCTGCAGGCTATACTATTATAGCCCTGATTGGCTGCGCAAAAGCAATCCCCGATGGACACGGCTACTTCGCAAAGCATCCCACCGCAGCAGAGACACTGAATATCATGGCCTTGTGGGTAGGAATATTTCTCTGGCTATTTACCTTTTGGCTTTTCGCAATTGCCGCGGTTGCGCACGTGCCCATTTTGGTTTCCAAACTCCGCGGGGATAAGTCACGGCAGCAGATGAGCTTTGCGCTTCCTTGGTGGGCGATTGTCTTCCCCAATGTTGGGTTCACGATTGCTACAGTATATATCGGGGAAGAACTAGAGTCCAGCGCTATATCCTGGGTTGCCACTGTTATGACTATCCTGGTGTTTGCAGCGTGGGTGATGGATATGTATTTGCATATGAAGTCGATATTTCAGAAGCGTATTATGTAGATAATTGCAGAACATAGAGGGTGGAACGCAAGTCAAGCGTGTAACTGGCCTTTGTTATTCGAATCGGCCACACTGTGTATAGTGAGGTCTGGGATTTTATACGGAATTGTTTACTGGATGTAAGGTTAAATTTTAGGTATCTCCTGTCCAAAAAGATACCCATGCAGGTTTTTCACCTGAAATTGACCACGTTGATTGTTGGATATGATAAGTAAAAAGGACTATGCTTTGCCCCGCTACCCTAAAGAGACCTCGATGCAGTGATTCAGTCAACATCTCAGAGTGAAAGGATTGTCGTTACTATATTGAAACTAGTTAAAGGAACGACTATACGTGTTTCAATCTGCTAAAGAGAATGACAGAGTGTGACAGCTGTGCAGAAGACATTAAACAATTCCTGTTTGACAGTTCTCACTTTGTTGAAAAATGAGAAACCATCGCGTATCCACCCATCCTACAATGCATTCAGCTCCATCAGGACATAGCCCATCTAGCCCTTGAGCTCAGCGGGGATATCAACACACTTGGGGTGCAGCTCAATGTTGCGCTGGCTCCACCACGGGTTCTTCGCCGCAATCGAGATCAAATCTCGTCCCTCCACATTCGAGTGAATACCCAAGTAATACGCCACGTAAACCGTGAAGAAGTGGCCGTAGAAGAACTTCTTGAAAAAGTTTTCCTGGTTGAGATCAATGTTGATGAACTCGATGTTCTTGTTCTGCGGAACGTCCTTGCTGCCGAACAGACTCTCAAGAGTCTTGACCTTGTCTTTGGTGTACTGATCTGCGTTGGAGTCAAGGAAAGTGATGATGGCTTGCTTCTCAGAGGGGTTGGAGTAAGCTGCGACTTCAGTGTGCGAGAACTCGTGCAGGAGGTTGCGGTGCGTAGGAACCATGGCGATCTCATTGAAGAACATGGTCGTCTGCTTAAGAAGCGTGACGTACCAGTCAGCGGTACTAAGGAGTGCAATACGACTGTTCTTCAGCTTTTCCGCAATATCCTGGGCCTTCTTGAGCGTAGCATCGTTGAACTCAGTCTTCAGGAAGTTGACTGAGTCCTGGAGCTCTTTGTGGTAAGAAGAAGGTGTGAGCTTGAGCTTGTGGAAGAGATCCAGGAAAATGGAGAAGAACTGCTGGACGTGGTACAGAGGGTACTCGCGATCCGCATGGCGAAGCTTGTACAAGATGATAGAAGTGTTGTGCTCCTCACACAAATGTTGAATCTTGCCACCACCAGAAAGAACAATCAAGTTCTTGTTTCCCGTCATCTCACGCATAGTCTCAAAGAACAAACAAGGCTCAACGGACCAACCACTGTAGCAGACAATAATAGACAGTGTAGTAGGGTCCTTCATGACATTGCGGTCAACGAACCAGTCGAGATCATAGTCGTTGATGACCTGAACATGAAGGGGGATCTTCTCGTTGAGGAAGAAGCCCTTGACGATGTCAGATACGACAGAGGAGCAGCCCATGCCGTAAAAGACAAGACGCTTGAATTGGCCGGACTCGATCCTCTGGCGGAGATCGGTGTTGAGTTTGGAGAGGTCGTATTCATGGCCCCAGAGGATACTCTCGAAGAGAGGGTTGCCGAGCATGGGCTGAAGACGTTCAAGACGGGGCTGCATTTTGGTGGGTTGGTTCTAGGATGTTGGTTAGAAGATATTCAAAGTGAGGTGCTCTGTGGACTTTTACATACTGAATTTGATATAGTGATAGAGCTGAAAGGTTGCACCTTGTGTGGTGGAAAGAGTAGTCAGGTGATACTGGATACGTTGATGGAATTGTTGATGATGAGAAGTATTCAACTTGGGTTCTGGAGCTCTTTATATACACGTCTCCGATCTATTACTTTCCTTTGTGGACAGATCGCTCCCTCATTTCCTGACCCGTTCGCCAACGTCCATCTCGAGCTATTCCGCCTTTACCGCAGTGAAACTGATGCTATACCAGCGGGTCCGCCCATCACCATCATGATTATCAATTTCCTCAACTTTGTAAAAGCCTCGAGGGACTTCTGTCAACTGGAGGATGTTGATCCTTGGAACGCAATGCATTCCAACGGCGTCGTACATACCATCGACTCCACAAGTGAAAAGATCATGATTCTGGAATAGATGCGCATCTCCGCCCGAGCCGTGTCGTAAGCTTCTCCTCTTTTGGGCATCATGAAGCGCCTTGTCATGGATTTCGCATCAATTACCTCCTTTGCTCCTTTCCCTGAAGTCCTCCCCACGCTCTTGTTGGGGGTACAGCAGCCGTCATGGTCACTATCAGGAAAACTCTATTCAACTACCGCGTGGGCATGGCCCGAATAGTTACCGTAATGGGACTATGGAGGGTCTTGTGACTGTTGTTTCGGATGAATGGAGTATCATCTACCGCTCGAGCCGTGTTTGAAGCCACAACCTTGATCTGATTAAGGAGATTTTCACTATGATATCTATCTTTAAGAATCATATCATTCTCGGTAGATCATCTGCCGGTTATACCTCCCTTTGAACTACTATCGTTATTGTCAAGGTATGCTAATGGTTGCAGCCAGATCATTGCGGTTCCGCATCCCGGATTTCACAAATATCAGATTATTCGTCACTTACAGTAACATTGTGGTTTTATGGACTAATAGGCGATTAACCGTCCTCACAGTGATTGAAATGCCCTTTCGGTATTGGTTATTAATCAAAGTATCAGTAACTCACTTTGTGACATAAACTCGTCCAAGAACTATGAATGTTCAGGTTGTCTCCACGCTGCTTGATCCCCCTCAATTGCTGCCATTATGAGCCAATGTGACTAACATAGGATTGTGAACCTTGATTTTCTGACATATTCCAAGGCATACTCTTATCTCTTAGCCATCTTCATGACTCAGAATATGATATATAACATACAAATACGACGTCATGCATATAGACCTACCTATAGTAGTAAGCCAAAATATCAACACCTCATAACGATCGACAATTAGTTTCCCCCAGTTTCCCCAGATCCCCCACCCAAGTTAGAGAAAACAAGAACACAGGAGCAGATTCAACTCCGCCTAGGTGGAGATAGGCTAGCCTCGGCTCACACTAATGCGCAGAATGGAGGGCCGAGCGAGCCGTCCCGCCCCCTGTCCTGTCTTGTTAAGCTCGTATCGCTTAGAAATGGCCGCGCAATCTGTTCCCCACCCGCTCCTAGCTAAGACCTGTTCTCCGCCGATTATGCAGGTGTTAGTTGTCTAAACTCTATTCTCTCGGGTCGAAATCCCTCTGGCTGCACGTATTTCCTGATATAGACATGATGTGATGTGTGTTTGCGCGGAGTCCGAGGCCGAGGTATTTCGGCCCGCGCCGTTCGCCTGTGAAAGAGAATGACGGACAGCTGCACTACGGACTCGACTAGCGGACGTCGCCTTTCTAGCCGTATACGGCATATGTCTTGCGCCTCTTACATAGTCAATTTCACAATGATGCCTTGTATGATAGGCACGAACTATATAATATCTTGCCTGTTTTGGTTCGGGCTGTCCTAGTATCACAATTTGCATAACAGCACCCGTCTTACATAATTATATCTGAAATTGAAGTCCCGCCGAAATGAGAATCCAAGCCACCGCGGAAGCTAACTCACGCAATGCGAGGAATTGGGTTCCTCTGCTCGATGAGCCTGCATACGGGCCCAGAAACATACGCATTGTTTGTGTTGGGGCCGGTTTTTCAGGCCTCATGTTAGCTTACGAAGCCAAGTACAATGAATCACTCCAGGGGTTTATTGATTTGACTATCTATGACAAGAACCACGACGTCGGTGGGACGTGGCTAGTTAATCGATATCCTGGCGTCGCAGTGCGTTTCTCCCATGGATAGACTCAACAGAAATAGTTGACTGACCTATTCTCAGTGTGATGTTCCAGCGCACATTTACACTTTTCCATTTGAGCCAAATCCAGATTGGTCCAGCTTCTATGCTTCAGGGCCAGAAATCTGGGCTTACATCAAGAGAACTTCAGATAAGTATGGTTTGGCGGAGAATGTCAAATTTCAGTCAAAAGTGACAGATGCCACCTGGAATGAGGCTTCAGGTAACTGGAATCTGAGGATATTTCAAGACGGCGAGGAAAAGGAGGATAAATGTGATATATTGATCGACGGATCAGGGTTTCTCAAGTATGTTTGCAGCAAGTTCAATCAAGATATCGCGAACTGACTGCTTTAGTAACTGGCATTGGCCTGATATTCCTGGTCTTCAAGACTTCAAAGGGGAAATAGTCCACACAGCTGATTGGTACATCTCTCAACTCCCCTTGCAATCCTTTCTCTAACGCCAGCCTCCCAGGAACCCTTCTATCAATGTGGAAGGCAAAAGGGTTGCAGTCATCGGAAACGGATCATCTGGTGTCCAAGTCCTTCCGCATTTGCAAAAAGCCGCTGCTCAACTGACAACCTATGTTCGCACTCCAACGTGGATATTCGCCAACTACGCCTCGGAGCTCACAAAAGACGGGACGAACTTCGCTTTTACCGAGGAGGAAAAGAAGAAGTTTCGGGAAAATCCAGCCTCGCTGTGGAAGTTTCGTAAAGAAATTGAGAACAGGTTTGTAACAGCACTGATATCAAAGGTTTTACTGAGACGCATACAGCCAAGACAACTTTTGGAACGTCTTCTTCAAAGACACAGCCGCTCAAAAAGCCGCTCTCGAGAATGCATACAACCGTATGCGAGAACGTCTCGGCAACGACAAAGAGCTGTGCGAGAAGTTAATTCCAGATTACGAATACGGATGTCGACGTCCAACACCAGGCGATGGCTACCTTGAAGCTCTGCGTCATGAGAACACGCGTGTCACTTTTGATCCAATCGTTCAGATCACCGAGTCGGGGATTCAAACTACACAGGACTATACTGACTTTGACATTATTGTGTGCGCAACCGGGTTTGATGCTAGTTTCCGCCGCTCGTGGACAGTGCAGGGGCGGAATGGCTATCAGCTCCATGAAGCGTGGGGTGAATCGCCAGAAGCGTACTTTGGGGTTGCAGCGACGAATATGCCGAATTACTTTATCTTCATTGGACCGAATAGTCCAGGTAAGTAAACTCTAAAATGGTAGGGTTACATTTTACTGAAAGTCCGCAGTGGGCCATGGATCGCTTCTAGACAGCGTGTTTTGTGTCGCCAAATGGATATTGAAGTGGTGTAGGAAGATTGCAACCGAAGATATCAAGTATCCGCGTACCGGGTCTGCATGATATGATGGAATGCGCTGACTTTGCGACAGGTCAGTTTGTGTGAAACAGCAGGCGCTGGATGATTACAACGTCTACCTGCAAGAACTTCTCAAGCGAATGGTGTGGACTGGGTCATGTCGAAGCTGGTACAAGAACCGTAAGAAAGATGGACATGTCACCGCAGTGTACGGTGGGAGCCGCCATCATTTTAGAGGTAAAGCATACTCCCATTTTCTTTCAGCATGTAGGTTCGCGTTTACTGATCTTAGATCACTCCCGTTAGAAATCCTTGAAACCTTTAGAACAGAGGACTTTGATATTGAGTATAGATCAGTTAACAGGTTCCGATTCATGGGCAGCGGGAGGACTTTGCGGGAGGCAAGAGGAGAGTACTACGTGCTAAATTAAGGGCTTAGTTGGTCCAATAGTTAGTGGAGATAGTCAAAGAACCTCTATGTGCGGAGACGGAACTTGGGTTACACGAGCCATCCATCTTTGGTGATTCGTAATTACCGGCAGTAACTTACGTGACATATCATATTGTGACATAAATGACCTGACATGCAGCATGCGTGATATGCAAAACACCGCCTAGACACGTACACAATCCTTCTCGGCCTTTCGGCCCTACCGATTGTGATATGTCACTTCTGGAGGTGGACCAGCACTCGAACCGCGGCTCCTTCTTGCGGGGAGGCGGAGGATGGTGATATCGGTATTTGGACGGACGGACGGACAGAAAGAAGAGATCGGCGGGGGATATATACACTGTGCTGTACTGCTTTTGATATCACACCACCTCCCGGAAACAACGAGAAACTAGACAGCGCTGACTAACTTTGACGACTACACTATGAATTCCACCAATACTACTTCGCCTGTACCCACCCTCAAGCTCAACGATGGAAACGAGATCCCAATGGTCAGTTATGTCTCGCTAGGTATGTTCGACTTGAGGTTAACGTGAAATAGATAGCGTACGGTCTGGGAACTGCAAACTTCAAGAAGGGTGGGAGAACCGATTATGATGAGAACGCGTTCAACTATACGTTGACTGCTATAAACAGTGGCTTTTATCACCTCGACGGTGCTTCAGGTATGTTTCTCTAATGCCTCACAAACCCATACCTTTTCTCACTTGTATCTAGCGTACGGAAACGAGGAAGAGCTCGGTGCCGCTATCAGAGCATCCGGCGTACCTCGGGAAAAGCTGTATGTTGTCACCAAGCTGAACGGCTGGAAGAAACAAGACGTACAGAGCGCTTTCGACACCTCGTTGAAGAAACTTGGGCTTGATTACGTGGACTTGTATCTAATCCATGCACCGTTCTTCGCGGAGACGCCTCAAGATTTGCAAGAAGCTTGGGCTACTCTTGAGTCTATCAAAGAGTCTGGGAAGGCTAAGTCAATTGGCGTTTCCAACTTTATACAAGAGCACCTCGAGACCATTCTCGCCACAGCCAAAATCCCACCAGCAATTAACCAAATTGAGTATCACCCCTATCTACAGCATGGTAATCTCATAGAGTACCATCGCAAGAACAACATGGCTCTGTCGGCATATGCGCCGTTGACAGCTATCATACGCGCCAGGCCAGGTCCTGTAGATGTTCTATACGGAAATCTGGCGAAGAAGTATGGTGTTACTGAGGGGAATATTGCGTTGCGCTGGTGCATTGATCAGAATATTGTGGTGATCACGACGAGTTCGAGTGAGGAGAGGCTGAGAGGTTATATGACGAATGTGTGGAGTTTTAAGTTGACGGCCGAGGAGGTTGAGGGTATTGCGATGATGGGGAAGCAGAAGCATTTCAGGGCATTTCAGAAACAGTGGATTGCAGAAGGGGACTGGCGATAGGTTGTCGAGAATGTATCTGTTTTTGGCCGCGTTAAGGCCCAGTCAAGTGCTGTAGTGGTTGCCAAACTACCTGGATATATTATTCTTACGATTGAGGTAGCAAGCTAGATGCAATTGTGCTGCCACAGCCTCTCTTCTTTGAAAGTCTGCTTGGTCATGAGTTGACTTTCTTCTTTTCCCATACTATTAAGCTTGCGTCAATTCAAAAGTGGCCCGCGAGTCCGGTCTAGCGTGCGTTCGACTCAAACATCGTCGGTGGACATATGAGAGGGAGCAATCCGCCCCGGCCAGGGCCTGAAACCTCCCTCACCAATTACGCAAGCATCATCCATCCATTAAATTCTAAAGCGCGGCAGTTGGGATTCTTCGGACAATGGGAAAGTTCGAAAAGTCCGGAAATCCAATGGCCATTGAAAGAAAGAGCGCCTGCCGGAAATTGGCCATACGCCATTACATATAGTTGCCTGTCCTTGTTTCGTCTAGCATAGGGTTTCTAACTGGTTTAAAATGTATAGGTCCTACCTCTAACAAGTATGTAACGGTATGATGAAAATCCAAGCTTCTTTGGGCTCTTGTCGGCGGCTTACTGCAACTTCACTAGGGTATTCCTAATGGTGTACGAACTCCTCATTATCCCAGTCGTATTGGTTCAGGGAGAGTATACTACTTTTTCAACATAACTTTCTCTATATAAAGGCTCTTGATACCTTCCCTTTATTCATTAAGACACAAGTTAGCTTTTAACCTGCCCATATCTATTTCTCCTTCATACACCTTTTCAACACCCTACAATGTCCGAACCAAATACAGCCGTGCCCGCCTCTAACCGAGAACAGAAGGCCGTCCCTGTTGCCCCAAACGTTCCTGTCGACCCGTCAGTCAATACATGGTCACGCTTCATCACTACGTTCGAGGTGTCTGAATTCACTGACTGGATTGACGAGAGCCTGTCGTGGAAGAAGACCTGCTATATTGGCGACTGGTCCCCCCTCCTCAAGATGAGAGTCCGCGGCCCGGATAGCAAAGAGTTTTTCGAGTATCTCTCTACGAACCACTGGCCAAGCTTCCAGTCAAACCAAGCCAAGCATGCAGTCTTTTACCGAGACAACGGAACCATCATTGGTGAAGGAGTTCTCATGATGCTCGGCCATGATGACTTCATTTTTACTTCTGTTCCCGGAGTTACCTGGGCGGTCTATCAGTTCCATCACGGAAATCGAAAGTTCAATGCCACAGTCGATATCGTTTCTGATGATTGATATATTTTCCTAGTTCAGGGCCCCAGCAGTGTAGCAGTGATGGAGGTGGCGACCAAATCATCGATCACCGACCTCAAAGTTATGCATTCCAGGAAGATGTCCATCGATGGGCATAACTTTCTGTGCCTTCGGGGGGGCGTATCCGGCGAACAAGGCTTCGAGCTCTGGGGTCCAGCTGAAGAGGCACACGCTGTCTATCGTGCCATCTTGTCTCATGGGTCTGAGTTTGGTATTCGTCAACTGGGCTACCGTGCCAAGACAGTGAATCACGTTCGTCTCCCCTTGTTTGTTATGACTATTAAGTTGACTTGCGATGCTTACCCGGGTCCAGGTGGAAGGGACGTTTCCTACTCCATGGCTCGATTTCCTCCCTTCGTTTCATGGAGAAGACCTCGATCTGATTGAATACCGTCAGTTTCTTAGAACTTCGGGTTTGGCCTCTCCGGCCTTGCTACATATTGGAGCTTCTGGTAATTATAGCTCTCGTCCATCTGCTCATCACCGCACACCATTTGATCTTGGATGGGGCTGGCTTGTTAACTTTGACCATGATTTCATCGGCAAAGAAACCTTGAAGGAAATAGCCAGCGACCCTCCAAATGCCCTCGTGACCTTGGAATGGAACAGCAAGGATGTTACAGATGTGTATGCATATCTCTTCTGCAACGAGACGCTAGACTTTATGGAAATGCCACGAGATCGGGGAGGCGTGACAGGAAGTGGTGTATATGATGATGACAAACTAGTTGGCTGCGCCGTCTCGCGCTGCTATAGCTACTGGTTCAAGAAGATGATATCTCTTTGTATCATCGAGATGAAGTACTCAACACCCGGAACAGAAGTTTTGGTAAAGTGGGGGAACAACGGGAGTCTACAAAAGATGATACGCGCTGTAAGTCACAGTTCTGATCGACTGCTCATTGCCTATTCTCAATCAGCCTTTAACATTGATTCTCTAGGTAGTCAAGCCCGCGCCGTATAAAGAAGACCAGCGAAAGAAGCCGCTTGTAGAGTAGATAAGAGGATGAGCTTCTTAGTCAATCCCGATTGACCTATCTAAAAGCTCTTATAGTATTTAGTCTTATAGCCTACAGTGCATCAATATACAGGAGATCAGACCATGGTTACGATGGCGAGTCCAATGGCATTTCGTAAGACCTTATTAAAATATAAATATATTTCCTTATAAGCTTAATTTCACCACTGCTGTTAATTATCGCGCTAGACTCGTCTAGAGACATGAATCGAATCCCGGCATAGTCCAACGTGTCTACTGCCGTTGGAGCTCCTGTTAATCTGGGTGCCTTTAAGCACACGATCAAGAACGACGAAGTAAGTTTGGAGAATTTTGACTTACAGCAACTGCGCTTAGCTTGAAGATTTACTAACATTCTTCAGATCATGTTTTTCGTTACCGCAGATGATAGAACTCAAGCCTTCGCATTCGAGTTTGAGGTTTAGGAGGATACAATGTTTGGTACTGGTATCGCTTACATGAGGTGTTGCAACTATTTGCTCATACAGGCGCTTCGCGCCTAGCTGTTTTGGTTATGCAGATTAGCTTCATGGCCAAGAACAAATAGAATAGTTTTTGTAAGTATTCTTACGATTTAGGCCGCCAATTATAAATACCTGAGCCTTCTGGTGTCAGAAAAGCCTTCTGAGATGTTCCGCAACCCAAGGGTTGCTGAGTAGGTGCTCTTGTGAGTCGCCTCAACGTCTCGCGCCCTCGAAAAGCTTTCCCTCCGACTTGGCTAGCTCCTGTCAATCTCGGAAAATCAAACGCCCACCGTCGATATCGAGAAGAGGCGGTTTCTGGTGGAAGCGGTCGCGGCGTTGCAACAGTAACGGGTACGTCGAGGATGATTCCGACGCCTGAGACGAGACGAGAGTCATCTTTGGGGTTCGTTTCGTGAGTTCCTGCAGGAGGAGAAGCCTCTGCTACTGGCACTGTATATGAACGATTAATTCTGTGTTCGAGAATTGATCGTTGATTATGTCACTATATTTATTTAGGCAGAGTCTCTATAGTTGCATGTAAGAAGTCAATATTGGGATATTTGGTGCTGGTTAGTCTTTTGAAGGACTATTACGACTATCATAATCCACGATCGATCAGTCATCCCCATAGACCAAAGCTCGGTAAAGGATCCCGAGCCGTTTCCATCATTATTACAAATCATACAAACTCCCCCCGGATCCCCGAATTCTATAGGTTCGGTCGAGGACGAGACTTCGATTCCAGTATCTCCCTCGCAAGTTCAGCCACTTCACTCGCCACGCCCCAAGATAATTCAAATCCTCGTCCGCCGGCGCCATAGGCATGAACCACATGCTTGACACCCCATGTAGTATCCTTAGCTTCAGTCTCGACTCTCATGCCGCCCTCGCGAGCTGGTCTTCTTCCAACAACATCCTTGATCACCTTTATCGTCTCAGGTCTTTGGCTCTTATCGCATGCTTGTGGTATGATTGACTGAGCAGCTTTCAGTAACTGAGTGCGTGTTTCCCGCGATGCTTCGAGCTGCCAGTCTCCCACCTCTTTTGTACCGCCAATAACTGTTCCTCCATTGAAGGAACGAGGAATTATAAAGCTCCATGTGCCGTCTTTCTTTTGGGTTGTGATTGTTTTGTCGGCAGCGGTGAGATTGGTTAGCACTGTCTGGCCTGGTTATTGTCAGTTGTCATCGTTTATGGTGCTGAGTTCTTGTCGTACCTCTAATGGGGAAGCACTTCTTATCTCCAAAACCCATTCCACTCGCATTCACGACTAGTTTGACACTAGGTGCTAGGATAAAAGCCTCCCATTCACTCTTTAAATCCCTCTGCAGCGTCCTTCCCCCTTGAACAATAAACTTGCGCAGTAAACTAGCAGTGTACAGCGGCGCATGGATACAATAAGTCTCATACTCAAATCCCAACTTTACACCTTCAGGTAGCTCGTGTGCTTCATATTTCCGATATCCGGGCAATCCAGTCTCATTGGCGAAACTCTGGGCATCTTGCTTCCAGTACTCAGGTGACGGGTCCTCAAGATACTCAATACCCGGAAGACGTCTGATTCCAACCCAAGGTTCAATCTGCCGGTGTTTCTCAAGCTCAGCGATAGTGCGTTTCACCCACTCGGCTTCACGACGCAGCTGTGGCGTTGAAGCGGGGATGGGTCGAATATGAGCACCAGCCCACATAGAAGCATAGTCTGCTGAATGGGTTGTTGGTGCGCCGGGGATTGAGGTTGGCCATTCTTTGGCGACGAGGAGGATCGATGTTGATGGTGAGTCAGCGGTTAGTTGTTGGATCTTGAGGGCGCTGGTGAGACCGATGATGCCAGCACTGAGATGCTTCCGTTAGCAGGGTTACAGGTAGGGATTAATGGTGAGAGCATACCCAATTACCACAATAGTGGACTCGCTTATATCAGATGAGCCAGGGGCTACCATTTTGTCCAGATGTGAAGTGTGAAGAGGCGTGGGAACAGGACTAAATTGATGGACAAGAACGAGTGGAGGTTGGCTAACATCAGGTGTCCCCACAAAATTAACCCAACCACGAAGCAGTTGACTTGAGCTCAAGACAAAGACATTTGACACAGACACAAATGACGGCAAGTATAGTGTCACACCGCAACGTACATCCATTCATATCATTAGTAAAGTAACTGACACATCCCCGTCATTTCCGTGCGCCGTCGCAAGAACAGTATGGAGTAGTGATCCGTCAATTGGCCCGCCGACATCGGCTGCAAGTCCGTAGATTTGCCATATGACGAGTGGCGGAAAGATCAAATATTTACAGAAACAAAAATGGAAAAATTGAGCATTCAACGAGTTGAAAAGGTAGGGAATGAAGGTATATACCGGGCAAGACAAAAAAACGAGGTCCTACCCGGGTTCGAACCGGGGTCTTCGGAAGGCTTCTAAGGGTATCAAAATCCGACGTCATTACCACTAAACTATAGGACCGTTGGTAGATGACTAATCGCTCAAATTTGAACACTATTTCTCGTGCTCGAGCGAAAACAACAGAGACTGGCTAACTGGCTGACTGGCAAATGCCAATGCAAAATACCCTATAGATATCTCTTAAATTCAACTTTCAGAACACTATAGCATTATTTATAAACCTTAATATTGAAATAATATTTAAAGAAAATATCTTATTTAATTTTATCCATAAATGTAGTTTAATTATCGTGTGAAGTGGCCTAGCATTGTAGACCATAGCTTGAGTGTTGAGACTAGAGATGTAGTTGAAATGCTTATTAAGACATCTCGCGTCAACGGCGGGTGGGTCACACTTATGGGTGTCTTTGTTGGCTGCAAGCCATCTTGTCCATGCTGCTTTCCTTGCAGGGCACAGGCGCTTATTTTCTTTTACCAGTTCTCTGTTTTGGCGAAGGTGGCTTGCAGGGAGCCCAGCAACAACCGACCGGAGACAGCCGACGCGGGAGCGAAGCGTATCGAGTGCGGAAGTGGCGCTGTGTGACGGTCAAAGACCTGATCGTGATCGGTGAATTATCACAACTGATAGATGTTTTAGTCATGGGTAGTTATTTACAAACATTGCTTAAGTCAAGGCTTAGTAGTACTTGGGTAATTTATTATGAAAGAGGTTATCCCAAGACTAGCAATTGCATTGAGCTGGAATTGGATCCACAATTGAGAAATGTTACTTTGTACAGAATCGTTGTTGCTGACAATACAAGAGTGAGGTGAAGAACCAATGACGGACATAGCGAAAATGCTGATGGTCGTTTAGTCGGTCTAGCTCGTCAGCTGACAGACGCATGACATGGTCTGTATCAGCATGGCATGTTCTGGGAGGCGACAATTGAGCAAAAAAGAATAAGCAATCGCTTATTGGCTGAAGATGCTGAGTCATTGTCTTTCAACCAATCAAAGTGATTGCGATTACCAGCTCTCAGGTCCGCAGCTGTGATGCTCTAGATAAAGTGGGTCAAGCTCTTTGAAAGCCATCAAGTACAAATAAGATCAAGAGCCGCTTCCAAGATTGAGTATCTTAAACAAGCATCTCACAATTCAATCACCTCTCTCCATACCATCCCAGTTTAACAACTCTCCCTAACAACACTCCCAAACATCAAAATGGTCGTCAACACTCCCGCTACCTGCTGCCGCTCCGGCGACAACGTCGAGTGCGCCTGTGGTACGTGACATCATCCCTCCCCCCATGCCCAACTCTTCTAACAACATCGCAGCTCAAAAGGCCACATGCTCATGCGGTCAAAAGTCCGCTCTTCAATGCACATGCTCCAAAGCCGCCTCCGAGAACACCGTCAACGGCCCTCGTTGCTCATGCCGCGCTCGTCCCGCCGGTGAATGCACTTGCGACCGCGCCGCTACCGAGAACGCTACACCTACTGGTTCGACCTGCGCTTGTGGATCTCGCCCTGCTGGTATGTGGCGTTCTTTTGTGTTCCTGTGACGACTGTTTTGCTAACTGTGGGGTTTTAGGTGGCTGCACTTGCGAGAAGGCTGCTGATGGTGGCTTTAACCCTGCCAACGAGATCGACTTCACTACCCAGAAATAAATTTATGACGTCGGCGACGAAGAATACGGTTTAATGGGGCAGAAAATAAAATATTGCATTTGAATGGCGTTGGGGAACGGTTATGGTACTGGTTGGGTGGCGTGGCGATAGATACCTGAGATACGGATACAGAAATGAACAATATTCAAGATAATTGGTCTATAAACAGAAACGCGCAGTTGTGTACAAAAAAGAGATTGTGAGTGTCTGTACTACAATATGTTCGCGAGCCAGACGCATCGGGATGTTTTGGCCGCTAAGCAAACGCGTCGAGGTGACGTTCATTTGTTCATCCGGAGAACGCGCAGTCCAAACCCAAGGTGGTTCTTGTCAGATCAGATGTCAATTGTGCCGTCTCCAACATCAGACGACAATAGAGTTGCAACGTACAATCGAACTACTATTGCAGCGTCTGTGCTCAAAATGATGGGACGTTCATTTCATCAATAAGCCAGGCAGTGAATCGCGTATCTGCAGATAAGATGAATAATTGGACAGCTCTCGATTCACCGCCTTTGAGAGCTCTGCTGTTCTGGCTCGTAACTGGGAGATTTGTCCGGCAGAAAAACCACTAGCGCAATTGGAACTGGCTGACAGCTCCCGGGCGGTAGCACCGAATCCAGGCATCACCCCCTGTTTAGCCCGCAAATGATCACTGCCACTGCCCCCAGCGCGGTCAGATCAGCTTTTTTTTCCCGGTTCCCTATTGTTCATAAAAAAATCCACCCACTTTCTCTATTGTCGCGCTCTTCTCAAGCTTGATCTTGCCATCAACACACATCAGACATCACTCCATCAAGTTTTGCACTTTTTCAATTTCGTCAATCAAGCTGTTTCTTTGAACGAAAAATAGCAACTGTCGCGCGTCGCACACACAACAAATCATCACGTCACAAATCCTACGCGATGGCGCCACGAGCCAAAGCTGCTGCTGCTACCAAGACCGCAGCGCCCAAGAAGGCCACTACTGCCGCTGCCGCTGCGAAGAAGGAGACCAAGACTACTACAAAAGCTGCAGCCAAGAAGGCTGTGCCCGCTGTCACGAATGGCGTCACTAAGAAGCGCAAGGCTATCGAGGAAGAGTCTGAGCCAGAGCAAAAGGAGGTTCGTCAGACAAAGAAGTCCAAGATCACAGAACGCGTCGTGAAGCCCGCTGTCAAGCCCGCACCCAAGACCAAAGCCGCTGCTACAAAGGCCAAGACAACGACACGAGCAAAGACCGAAGAGGCAGAGGAGAAGCCTGCCGCCAAGAAACCTGGTCGTCCTGTTGGATCCAAGGCCGAGCCCAAGAAGAAGTCCGAGTTTCCTGCGATCGGAAAGAAGCTCAACGACGCGCCCACTCAGATCCTTGATGTCTACGTCTTTGGCGAGGGTTCCTCGGGTGAGCTTGGTCTCGGAAGCAAGCGCGTCAACAACAAGAAGCCAATTGACGTCAAGCGTCCCCGACTCAACGATAACCTCTCCGCCGCGAATGTTGGCGTTGTCCAGATTTCTTGCGGTGGCATGCACGCTGTTGCGTTGACGCACGATAACAAGATCTTGACATGGGGTGTCAACGACCAAGGCGCGCTTGGAAGAGACACGAATTGGGATGGCGGTCTTCGCGACATGGACAAGTCAGAGGACTCTGACTCGGAGGACGAGGACGATACTGGCATTAACCCCATGGAGAGCACACCAACAGCTGTTTCCGACGAGTTTTTCGCGCCCGGCACCAAGTTCGTCCAGGTTGTCGCTAGCGACAGCGCCAGTTTCGCCCTCACAGAAGATGGCCGAGTCTACGGCTGGGGAACCTTCCGATCCAGCGATGGCATCCTCGGCTTCTCAGAGACCATCAAGGTTCAGTCCACTCCCCTCATGCTCCGCGATCTCAAGAACATCAAGGCCCTCTCCGCCGGATCCAACCACATTCTCGCTCTTGACCACAAGGGCAACGTCGTCGCCTGGGGCTGCGGCCAACAGAACCAGCTCGGCCGCCGTATCATCGAGCGCAACAAGATGTCCTCCCTTATTCCCCAGGGTGTTGGTCTGCCTCGCGGCAAGATTGCCAAGATCGCCTGCGGTTCTTACCACAGCTTTGCTATTGACAAGAGTGGTCAAGTTTATGGCTGGGGTCTTAACAACTTCGGCGAGATTGGTGTTGAGTCGAATGCTGGCGAGGATGATGCTGTTATCCTTCGACCTGCTAAGCTTACATATCTCGATGACTACAACATTACTGAGATTGATGGTGGCGAGCACCACTCCCTTGCTTGCTCTGATAAGGGTGATCTCTTGACCTGGGGTCGTGTCGATGGTTACCAAGTCGGCTTCGAGTTTGACAAGCTGTCCGAGGACAACACCATCTACGATGAGCGAGGCAACGCTCGTATTCTCTTCAAACCTACTATCCAACCTGGTAAGTCGCTCATGATCTCAGATTTCGGTCCATTAGCTAACCAATATGCAGATGCCAAGGACATCATTGCCGTCGCCGCCGGCACAGACAACAATTTCGCCATTGCCTCGGACGGCAAGGTCTACTCATGGGGCTTCTCCAGCAACTATCAAACCGGCCAAGGCACAATTGACGACATCCACACTCCCACCTTGATCGATAACACCGCCATCCGCGGTAAGAAGATCATCGGAGCCGGCGCAGGCGGTCAGTACTCCGTGCTCTTCGGCGTCGCTGACGATGCTCCCACAAACGGCGTCAAGACCAACGGCGCTTAGAACCTTGGCACGAGGAATGAATTGACGGAGGAATCTGGAATTTTCCATATCAGCCCTATTTTAATTACGTTGCTGAGATCAAGCAGCTTTCCAATATTTGTACTTTAACGTCGATGGATGCATGATGAATCGGACGGGCGGATTCTGAGTGCGGGTTAAAAAACATTGTTTTTC